ATATAAATATGTACATTACAAGTCTTCTGTCACATTGGTTAACAGCTATAATAAATAAAGTTAAATAAGGCCAGTCCAAAGAAATCAAAACATCCTCTAATTCCTGTACCAGAAAGTAGTGCTTAAAACTATTGAGACATTTGTGAATAGCAGTTATTTGTCCATGCAAAACATGGGATCGGAACCAGTCACGGTGAATACAACAGAAAACAAATAATACCTCCCTGGGTCACTAGTCTCACACGGAAATTATCACGTTAACAGTTTGTGGATTATCAAATGTCAACTTTGACTCATTTAAACGACACTACCTATAACACTAGATGCACAACAGAAGCAACTGGTTAGAGAGTGTGTGGTATGTGACAAATATTAAACATAAAATAGTATATATAATACACAGTATAATATAATATAATAAATGCTAAGTGCATAAAATCCTTAAAATGCAAAATATTACCGGTATATTTTTGACTTGTTCTTGAAAACTGCTCATTTAAATGCATACACAGTCGATAAGGTTACGCGCAAAGTGACTTGGGTAGTCTGTAAAGTGATGTGCAAAGTCCGTAATATACGTGATAAGTCGAGAACGTTTCCTGTGAAATTGGGAAAACTTGGTGCAAAGTGAAATGTTACGTTCAAATTCCGTAATGTGTCGTTTAAAGTCAAATACAACGTGCAATGTCAGTGAAGTGAAAAGTTCGTAATACTCCCTGAAAGTCACGTGCAAAGTTCGTAATACTCCCTGAAAGTCACGTGCAAAGTTCGTAATACTCCCTGAAAGTCACGTGCAAAGTTCGTAATACTCCCTGAAAGTCACGTGCAAAGTTCGTAATACTCCCTGAAAGTCACGTGCAAAGTTCGTAATACTCCCTGAAAGTCACGTGCAAAGTTTGTAATACTCCCTGAAAGTCACGTGCAAAGTTTGTAATACTCCCTGAAAGTCACGTGCAAAGTTTGTAATACTCGTGCAAAGACGGATGTGTAAAAAGGCTGTGAATTACTCTGTAAGATTCTAAAGTGTACCAGCTTTAATATTTGTACCTGCTGAGATTATGATATATTAACAATTATAATTTATTTCAAATGTAAAACTAAACTTTAATTGTCTTTTTGGTGTGATTAATTTGTTGACACAAACATATTCTTGAAACCAACTCGTATAGATTATTACAGCTGTGTGTTTAAAACACCAACGAATCAGTTAATGGCGTTGCTATAATTACTACCACAAATTTGTTTATTTAATTTTCCCTTCTGAGATCTGCCGGCGCCCCCTAGTGCCCAGTGTGGAAAAAAATAAACGCAGGATGAATATTGCCGCGTAATCCTGTACACTACCAACTGCCAATGTTGTGTCTTGTTATCTACTTATACGAAATCGTCTAAGAATTGTGCATGTTTCTAAAGAGACTTATAAGAAATTTAAAAAAATGCACATGGTCATGCGCAATTCTTATAGTTTAACCTACTCCTGTATCTAGAGCAACCCACAGTCCGTTGCACCAGAGTTTGTGTTTAGGTTGGAAACAAAAATTGTGAAAAATAATTATTGCTTCTATGAAAGAAAAAATGTTCAAAATTCATGATGAATCTCAAAAACACGCCACATTTTATTTGCGGTGTAGTAGAAGTCCATATTTCCTTCACTGATTTGATAATATTAGTATTGCATCATATTGCATCATTATCATCACCCTATCTTTATCGTTGTATTAATATGCCCGTTACTGTGTCTCTTCATTTTTATTAATGTAAGTAATTTATGTGCAAATTAATCAACACATCTCAGGTGTTTTATCCGTATAAAATATACATGAGACGTTCTCATAAAGTTTTAGTATATTTATCAGATATTCAGAAAATGTTATAAAAGTGTCTTACATATTTTATTATAACAATTTTGCTTATTATTTATAATATTCTTACAATAGTTAGTTTCCAATAATCCGTAAAATGTTATTTTGACGGTAAACAGGTTGCAATCGTCTCACTCGAGTTAAATTGTACCCTCAACCGATCGTAGCCAAATTTGCTTAATGTAAACAGAAAGAGAACAACTACGAACAACTAATACTTCCAGAGGACAATGATAGTGATTTTTGTCACGGATGGTGAGAGCTAGTCGCAGACAACTGTCATAGTTTCTGGAAAAAAAAAGCTAAAGGTAATGGTAAATGATTTCCTGAACTCTGATAAACCTCAGATTGGCGGAAAACTGTAAATATTTGTAAAACCATGGAGGTAAAAACATTGTTGGGTACAGTCTAGGGTCGTGTTGGTGACGATGATGATGGGCAATCAACGCGTTAACATTCCCTGTTTTAATAGGGTCTTGCTGTCAGTACCATTTTATGAAAAGTTGCCTACAAAGGTTTATCACAGGGGCTTGCTAACTTGCCCCGTTTGTCATGTTTTATGTGTCATTTGGGACCGGGTCTTGAAATGCGAAGCCCTGGAGGTCGATTAAACAAACAACCCCTATAGAATTCTGGGTAATTGTTTTTGAGAGGTTATTGACCGCGGAGACTTACTATTACTATTCTATTTTTGTCAACTGTCATGCTGTGACATGTAGAAAAAGACGAACGAAGTTAGTTTATTTAGGAGAATACATTTTGTATACCCAAATCATACATGAAAAGTACAAACACAAAATCTAAATGAAAATATTCTAGCTCACGGCTTAGTGCAAGAAAATAATTTCTCTCAGAACACCAGACACTGGTTATACGATCTTATAGAGTAATCCGACGAGCGCTTCTCGAAAGTACGCCCTCATACGCCGCCGCCATTACTGGGGGCATATACCATTCGCAGTCATGGCGTCCCATAACAAATTACGTAAAAATAATAATATTTATTAATAACATGCGAACTCGTACTATTGCCACCACTACAAACTCACCTACAAACATTTAATACGTATTTCCAACGATTATTTCCATGGATATTTGGAAAGACGATGTTAGAGACTGGCTAACAGGTGGGGCCGAATGATCAACGGAAGGAGGTCAACCTAGAGGACTGTACTCAGGGCTAGAGACTGGCCAAAGCTGGAAATTCAGACTTTGTGTAGAAATTGTTGTAAAACTGGATTTTGTTTCGTTTGTGTGCGTCCAAATCGTTTTTTTTTTTTTTTTTTTGCACGTACAGAGTAGCTGTTTTCCAAACGATCAATGGAGACAGACGTAGGAGAATTATTCTCGTTAGTAACTGGGCAGTCCCTACCAACACGGTCGGTGTACAGAATCGTAGGTTGTTCATATGGTACGATTTAATTTTTGTTGTAGAGACTTACTAGGGTTAGTGGATAGTCATTCTTTGTAGAAAATGATGGGCATTGATCGCCAAGAATATCATTGTAACTACACTGATGAACACTCGCAAAATAACATGGCAGCACAAGCCATTTCATAACTATTCAAAATATTTTGGCATTTGAATGTTAATAACGAATGCTGATGTAGAAAAAAATAAATAAAAACCAAAACTCTGCCCCTTGGACATCTCAGAGAAAGCTACGTATCACAGGTAGTGCAGCTGCAAGCGTCCCAAAGAAACTGAACACCGATCCCTCAAAATGGATTTGCAACCATGTTCACCCACGCTTCACAGGTAATGCAGCAACAACCGCAGCCAGTAGTTACTAAACCCAGGTGCAAATTGCAATGTTTTGCTCAAGAAGAACAAAGTGCAAGTTTCTTATTTGGGGTCCTAATGACTATGCGACTGCTGATGTTTCACTAGATTTACCATGCGCTGTACCCCAGACCATTCGTCCCGGTGTTATCGCTATCGCCACACGAGACTCCAGCTTGTCTCCTATACAATTTTCCTTCCGCCCACTTAATTTTAATATTCATATGACCTTTGCACTGACATCGATAGCCAATCGCATTCGACCGCGGACGTCACTCTAAATAAACAACTGAATAAATTAATATACCATATTTGGAAGATAGCGGGTAAATTCAACGTTGTTGGTGTGTTCCTTCGGGTTCCGAAGTCGCACGAAACGAGTTCATGTTCCGTTATCTTTCGCAAGTAAAACAGGTCGATATGTATTAAACATGGCATTTGTTTTCTTGTTTTAACCCCCTTATTACGCAAGCTTCCGTCGAAGTGGTGTTTTTTTCGACGATTTGTGGCATGTTGCAAAACGAACGAAACATTGCGGCATTCTTAGCGGTGGATAAGGGATCGACTATGTCGTCACATTTATGTCTCGTTTGAAAGAGAATAAACAACCGCTCAGAAAAATATGTTGCTAATATTTAAGTGCGGTGCCTTGAAATCGCCTGCCCGACGTCCAAATTTCAAAAGGATGTTCGATTTGCAATGACGACCGTTCATATGTACTAGGCGACGT